GTGAACATATTGAATACTGTTATAGGAACTATTTTAATGTCCATTTTGTATTTTGATTGATTGCTTTTTCATTCAATATGGGCTGTATTTTTTGGTTTCTCTGCATGTCTAGTAATTTTTGACTGGATGCCAGACATTGCAAATTTTATTTTGTAGGGTACCCAATACTTTTGTATTCCTATAAATAATCTTGAGTTTTGTTCTGGGAGCAATTAAGCTACTTTAAATCAGTTAGATCCTTTTGAGTCTTAAAATTTGGTAGATAGGACCAAAGCCATGTTTTGTCTAGAGCTGATTATGCCCTTCTATTGAGGCAAGAACTTTCTGAACACTCTATTCAATGTTCCATGGAAGTTTTCCAGTCTGGCTGGTGGGATAAGATACTATTCTCCACTCTGTATGAGCTCCATGTACCCTACTCTGTAATTCTTTCATGTGGTTCCTTCTGTGGACCAGGTAGTCTCCTCATATTCATGTATTGATCAGCATGCTGTTGGATACTTAAAGGGGACCCTCTTACATCTCAAAAGTTGTCTTTCTATATAGCTCTCTCTCTCTTTGTGTTACTTTGTCCCACAAATTCTAACTGTTTTGGTTTTGTTGGATTCTGTGCTTTGTCTCCTCAATTCAGTAAAGGTCTACCTGAGTTCTCACTTCTAAAGCTATAGCCCAGAAACTCTTTCAAGGCAGTAAGCTGGGGCAAATTAAGCCTTACTTTGTTTGTTTTCTGACTCTCAGGAATTGCTGCTCTTCTTTGCCTGGTGTCCGGTATCTTAAAAACCATGATTTTATTATACGTAATTTTATCTGACTTTGTGGTTGTTTTAGGCAAGATGTTAAATCTGGTTGCTGTTACTTTATTTTGGCCAGAAGCAAAAGTGTTGGTGCTAGGCTCTTAATTCAACTTTGTAATTTTGTATACCTAGCCAGCTTTTCACTTCCTCTATGGGAATGTTATTAAACATTCTGATTAAACATTCTGATTCCTCATCTTCCATAATCATTTGATTCCTAGGGATTAAATGAACATATTCCATTATTGTCTTGGAATTTTCTTCCAAGATGCTGACACCCATTTTGCAAGTTTGATAGTGGTATGCTGATGTTAGCACCTTTGCAGGTAAATATAACTATGGCGGGATTACTGCCTGGGTGAGAGAGAATATAAGATAGTACTGATTGTGAGATACATTCTGATTTCATTTATGTTAAAATATGAAAAATTCTTCCTCTTAAATTCAGTGAAGCAGGATATTTTGACAATAACAGATTAGACATAAAAATGAAGTTAAAGATGGCTCCAAAGTTTTTGGCATAGGCAACTGGAAGGATGAAGTTCCCCAGGTGAGGATGGGAACACCATGTTAGGCCGTCCAGTATATATCCTCCTTTGTGCAATTATAGATAAACTGGGGGTGGGGGTATTGATTGGAATATTCAAATGCTCAGCTTCTCCTTATGTTATTGGATATATGTTAAGAGTAATAAAATTTGTATGAAGATTTAAAATATGCTATTAAAACCTCCTGAAGATTGGCAGATTATTTTTATATGTGCCCAATTGTACTAAAACATGTCTCTTTCATTTTTAAAAATTGAAATTAAATTAAGTATCAGCCCCATAGGCTTAGAGGGAAGAGTCTTTAAAAACATGAACTTATCAACAGATCTTAAAATAAGATAAACTCAGATAACAGAATAAGAAAGTCTGTCTTTTCGAAATATTATCATTATCACCTTTCTCTAATACAGCAGTGAATCATATAGAACATCCACATATGGCAAGGTTTAAAAATGAATATAAAATGTTCTTTATAGAAAGTTGTAGAATATACATATAGATATGGATTTTTAAAGGAAATCTTTTAGGTAAAATCCTTGGGAACAATTTTCTTGAGACAGGGCATTTGCAATTTACATACGTGAAATGATAGAATTTATGATTCCCATGGAAAGCTTGTCCATTTAACTGAGAAAACAGATATCTGTTCTCTGAAGCAGTTCTTTTAGAATTGTTGATTAATAACCTAGAAAAATGTCCTGAAGACTGGCATTATGGTTCCGTCAACAAAGCCAGAATAGATTAGGACAGATGCACTTGATCATAGAACAGTGTGTCTTTGTAGCAAAGGGCACCGGAGGAATGCACAGCGCGGTGGGAGCGGATGTGGCCACCTGCCTTGCCAGCCATACCGATCGCATTATTCACTGGGGAGGCAGGTGTTGTGACCAGATTGCTTTCTCATTCTGGGATATCTTAGACACCTCTCTTTGCACAACACTGTAATAGGTGCCAACAGAAGAATCCCCTAGCCTGTCCCAAATCATTGAGAATTTATCAGCAAATGAGACAATTATTAACAAGTATACAACTGAAAGAGTGGCTTTCATGAACATGCAGAAAATAAAATTTTTAATTGTTTTTTCTATTTTGCTTTTTATCAAATTAAGAGCACCATTTTCCTTGAAGTATATTTATTTTCTGATATCTGTCAGCTGATGTTAACAAGTGATACAGATGAAAAAGTTTCCCTGGTTAAACACATTGGGTGTCCATTGGGTCAAATACAGTGAAATGGGTTTCTTTGGTTCAGGGCTCCTAAGAAACTAACGAATGTGCTTTGGGAATTTCCATTAGTGGGATATAGGATGTAGTATTTCCCTACATGTTTTGTCTCGGGTTCCTTTTTCAAGGACCATCTATCTTATAGGGCTAGTGCTTTGTTGGTCTTCTTTGTCACTGAATCCCTAGTGCCTGGCATGGAGCCTAACACTAAGAGCCACTCAAAAAATATTTGTGGAATAAACTAATGGATTTGCTTGTTGCCTGATCACCTGCCAGGAGGACATCAGGCCTTTTCAGAACAATAGAGTAGGCTGTGACTCTTCCCACCTCTGTGTTGTGTGCTGCCAGCTGCTCAAGTTTGCGCCAGCCTGAGCTGCTCCATTTCTCTTTGACGAGGCAGTCCAGAGAGGCAGTCCAGAGGCTCTACTTTTACCTGCCCTATACTCTCCAGCTACTCTCTTCCCCTCAACAACTTTCTAGGTTTCGTCCCTCTCTTCTTTGGGGAGCATACAAATGTTACTGCATCAGCTGAAAGCTAGGGTATTAATGCCCAGCCTGGGGAATGTGAGTCGCTTCTCAGCAGAGCAAGAGGGAGGCTGCACTAGTGTCGTGTGGGTCAGAAGGCGGCTGCTGAGCAGTGCAGAGTGGGGCAGAAAGCTTCCCTACTACTTGCACTTTATTTGACCTGTGAATAAACAAAGACTTTCTATTTCTAGAAATCTCATTGTTTTAACTGCTTGGAGTTTCTTTTGCAAACTTAAAAAGTCATTTCTTCATGCATGGTATTTAAAGCCCCCCTTGGGCCCAGTCTTAACGTTTTGTTGTTATTGTTCCCTTTCTGTATTCTTCTTTCATTGTGTGTTCTTATGTGCTGCAAACTCTCAGCTCTCTGAAATTCAGCCTTTTCTTTAACAAAGTATGACATTAGAAACAACTGTAAGGTTGTAGCATGAGTAGAATATTCAGGATTCTAGAGAACTTGGTAAATGTAACCTCTTCAGGTAAAAAATTAGGAGCATCAGCATATGGTTTCTCTTTTCTCATTCAACAGGTAATGGTAGGAGCCTTGGAGAGTTTTAAAATAATAAAAATAAACAGTTTTTCATCTCTGGCCTTAAAGAGATTTGGAAAAGAGGGAGGAAAATGATATTTACAGAATACCTCCTGTGTTCCAGGCTACAGATCTATAAAACTATATCCATATCTATATTCGTATCTATTCACAACATTATTAAGAGGTAACTGGGGATCAGAGAAGTCAGGCAACTTCTGAGATTTACTTGTTTAAACTAAATTCTCCTAAAGATGGGATGATAATGTTAAGTTTCAGAGAAATTGGATAACTTTGAGATTCTTTTATTGAAACTAAATTCTTCCAATGGCAGGATAATAATATGTACTATTGGAACAATATGTATGAACAAAGAATCCCACAGAACTTCTGAATATGCTAATGAGTTGTTGTTTTTTTTAAATTCTGCCTTTCTCTTAATCTTCTTGAGTGCCCTCCTATCCCTTTGACCTTGGACTATGCGTGATACTTCTCAAAGGCTTCATTTTTTCATTTGTAAAATACTCTTTGTTGACATCACAAGTTTTAGGTGAGGGAGTAAATAGTATTGTTTAGGTGAAAGTGAAACTCTGTAGTGCCATGTAAATTTAAGGCATTATTGTCACAAATGGAGTTCTCAATAAGAATGCCTGTGATGTATTTGGAATGTGTGTGATATACCTCTAATTTTTTTAATGTCTGCTTCTTATAAATTTAAGCCGAATTTGAAAGTAGGGCAAAAAGAAATCCATTATAAAATGATTTGTGATTAAGCCACTTTTTTAAATATTTGAAAACAGAGAGGGGGGTGTGTGGAGGAATATTAATAAACATTTATGGGGCATTCACTATATGTAGTATTAGGGGTAGATAATGTGAAGGATATTCAAGAACTAGAAGGCATGATTTCTGCCCTGGAGGGGTTCAAAGGATGCGGCAAATATATTTTCCCCTCCTCTTATCTGTCTGACTCATCTGAGATACTCTGCCAGAGAAAAGTCCAGATTTTGATATAATAAATTCATCATTTGAACATTAGAATTTATTTTTATTTTTTAATTTAACACAAGTACTCTAATCTAGAGAATTTTCATGGTATAAGACCAGACTTTAAAATCAAATTAAAACTTGCAAATTCATTATTTAATATATCAAAATTCATATTTTCAAGAAAGGCCAAATACCCCTGTGGACTAGCATCTCTGGCATATTTTATTTTGAAGAAAGTCAAAATTTTGATTCACAAACATTGCCTTTTACATTTTAAACACTTTATAAAATTGTCATACTTTGAGGTATGGACATCTGTCCCTTTATGGGGAGACAGTCACCAATTTTGTGTCAAATGACGTGCTTTTAAGACTTTGCTTTGCTTCTCTCTAGTGGACGACACTGTGGTTGCTATTCCCTATGGAAGCAGACATATTCGCCTTGTCTTAAAAGGACCTGATCACTTGTGTAAGTAAACTCAGTTGTTTTCCTTTGGGGATTGGGAATTTTAGTTGTTATTGTTTATTTTATGTTCCCAGAAGAGATTAAAACACAAGAGTACAAATCTTTCTACTCTATCATAATATGATATTTTGAGTGCTTCTGTTTACCTTTGAGCTGCCTGATGAGATGGCAGAAACTTCTGTGGTCATTATCTCTAACAACAGTCATCCTGAAAAGCACAGAATAGGTGCTCCCAATGGGTTGCTCATGGGTTAAGCACATGTTCGTGCATTTGTGAAAATTCTGTCTCATCCTCTCTCTTTTTCCTTTCCAGTCTCAATCTTTTTCTTGCCTTACCTATCTTTTTCTTCTTTCCTTTCAATCCTCTCTCCCTCTTCTTTATTCTTTCTCTTTTTCTTCTTACTCCCATGTCTCATTACTTCATCAACCCAGAGGAACATAGAAACCACAAGCAACCTGAACACTGTAGCATTTAAAGAAAGCCATAGTGTTGTAATTAAACATCCCACGTATCAAATACAATTCAGAGCCCTCATATCTTAAAGATAGCTATTGGGATTCAGGACTGAAGGGTAATGATAAAGCCAAATATCAAATGGTAGCATGGTCCCTCCAGGGTTTGTACAAGAATTAATCTTCAGTCATGCCAAGGCAGCAGTACACAGCCACATCTTTTTCTTTTATTATTACTGTTTAATGCTGTTTACATATAGACCTGTAAGTCATAAGCAGAAAATTATAGGCTATAAACAAAGAAGAGGGTGGAAGAGACTATGCTGGCATTTTCTGTAAAATTCAGTTTCACTGAAAGGCTTCACTTCACTTGGTTCCTTGAGCATTTCTGGTCTCCTCCACTCTGATTGTTCCTGTGTTTCCACAAAGCCATCTATCATCTGCTGCTCTTTCTCCTCGCCCACATACATGCCTATGCAACTCATTTAGGTAGGAAGCATTATTTTTTTGGCAATTGGGTTGTAAGTGAAACCATGCTAGAAAGACAAACGAGAGAAAGGCATATTGGAGTCTGTAAAAGTCAACCATAGCCTACCATAGTCTTTCTAAAAATAAAAATTGATACATTTCATGGAAGAGGTGAGATTTGAAGGGTCGTGTGAAGTAAAGGAATAAGTAAGGGATAGTTTAGGCAAAACCCCAAAATGCTGATACATCACCTTATATGGATCCAAGTTCTTTTCTAATGCTAATAAGCAACCCCATAAAATGTAGTGTTCACATGTCAAGAGATAATATGTGTGTGCACTATTACCACTCAAATAATTTGTTTTTTTACCTTTGAGAACTGGAGAGAGCTAACTGCTGGTGTAAGAACCCCACTCAGAACAGTATTTTTGTGAGCAGTGGCAGAGACTGAAATAAAATCATCAGGCCAAGATCATCACCAAGTGGGTGACTGACTCCTCCTTACAGAAGAAAGAACCCACAGTAATAGATTTAAGAGGAAAATTTACTTTTATAAATGTATTGGTCTCCTGGATTTCCTGAGTATTTGATCACTAAGAAGCTGAAGAATTAGGCTATGTTTGGTTTGATTATCCAAAGGATTTGATGAAAAGCAAAATGGAATCTGCTTTTTTTTTTTTTTTTAATTTCTGAACAAGCATACTGTTGGTAGTACATGTATAGCTAAAGAATTTTTCGTTTTGTTTTGTTTTGTTGTATTTAGAATATAATTCAACAACATGAATGTGGAAATGAATGATACCCTTTTGCTCCTGCAGCTCTTTGGCTCTTCAGTCCCAGAAGCTGGTTCAGTGTGGGACTGACCTTAAATAGTTAGGGCCAAACCAGAATAAGACTAGGCAGTCTGGCCCTCCCCCAGCTCATCTTTAGTCAGAAGTACCTTGAGAGAGACAGCTGTGAGCCTGTCAATAGAATTGAATCCGATGCTCAGACCAGGCCTAGAACTCTGGGATTTTTCCATGTCCTAGAGATGTGTCTACAACTGCATGTATGGTGGCTTGAGGAATGAAGTCTGGAGGAAGGAGATTCATTGCTGTTGGTTTTCTCTGGTGACAAATGTGATTTCACCACTCCAACAGTCCCTTGATATGCCCTGTATTCTTCTGTGGGGTCTTCTCTGCACTAGGGCAGGAGAGTAAAGCCTGGCCTGTTCTTGAAGAAGATCTCCACAGGCATCATCTGAGAGTTACTGGACATTTAATTGAATGCCAACATTTTCTACCAGTTGGTAGAGAACTTCAAGTAGACCACATGTAGAATAATATAGTACAAATACTTTAGGTACCTCCAAAGACCTTAAAAAATTATTTTTAACTCAAAGCCCCACCCAAGCACTCCATCTTTCTGCTGAAGAATCGCTACCCAAACCGAAAGTTCTTGTACAAACCATTAGCCTTAGTCCATTGATATTCCTTCGTGCAGCCATTATTCCAAATCACCTCCCAGTCCCATAAGAACGTAGTCTTCCCTGAAACAGACATTGTAATTGCCATCATACCCAGCATGCTCTGATTTCCTCCAACAAAAAATGCTTCGTGCACTTTGTCGTTGGCCAAAGTTGGATTTGAATGTTCCAAGAATCAAGGTTTTCTTTTTGTCTTAAGCACTTATGAAATACGATAGATAGATAGATAGATAGATAGATAGATAGATAGATAGATAGATAGATAGATATAGATATAGATATATAGATAGATATATATAGATATATATATATATATAGATATATATATATATGAGTTAAGGATCAAAAAAGATTATCCAAAGAGAGAGTACTATAAAGGATAGCTATAGATATATATATATATGAGTTAAGGATCAAAAAAGATTATCCAAAGAGAGAGTACTATAAAGGATAGCTCCTGTTCTTAAGTCACTGTAGTTTCTTCATTTTGAGTAATAGCACATATGCAATAAGCAACAAGAAAGGAATAAACAAACACAAGTTTATGAATGAATATAAAATCACACAGGTACTGAGGCAGCTCAGAGATGATCTCACAGAGCAAAAAGAAAACTGGAAGGTCTCCTAGGCTGACGGCCATCAAGACTGCAATCAGTAAGATGTGCACCAGAGATGGTTTAGTCAAGGGAATAGGGTTATATCAATACCAAAGCAGGATGCACAAATGAGGTCATCCAGAGAGTCAAAGATTTTTTGACAAAGAACCTTGAATGCTTGACTATTGAGTGTTAAAATAATTTCATTTGCAGCATAAACTCCTATGTGATCCAGCAGTGCCTATATATTTTATTTATGTCACAGTTTCAATTTCGTCAACTCTAAACTTTGTTGCATGAAATGTGCTTGCATGTGGTCTGTGGTAGCCCTAGGAACATCTTTCTCTCCTCTTCATGTGTTTGATTATGTAGATCTGGAAACCAAAACCCTCCAGGGGGCTAAAGGTGAAAACAGTCTCAGCTCTACAGGCACCTTTCTTGTGGACAATTCTAGTGTGGACTTCCAGAAATTTCCAGACAAAGAGATACTGAGAATGACTGGACCACTCACAGCAGATTTCATTGTCAAGGTGAGCCCATTTAGGGACCTCATTTTTAAGCCACATCCAAACTGATGTTACTTATAATCTCTTGAAGAGAGAGAGAGACTTTAGGTTTTTGACATATATTTGGAAAGCCCATTTGTTATCCAGGAAATGTTTGATTCAAGGGTGTTGAGCTAGCTACCTCCTGGACTTTATAAGAACATACGATATTTTTAAGGTTATAGGGAAATCATTATATGTATTATTAATAAAATGACCCCCATCTAAGAAGCTAACATAGCATTAGTTAGGGGATATAAACTGTTTTCAAAATAATTAGGATACAGTCATTGACACATACAGGTTTTTCTCAGTAAAAGAGAAATACAAACTGATGATCCACAGTCTTGGTCGACTAGTCGCGCTTTCAATGGCAAGTTCTGTTGTCTCTTCTATTGGCAACAAGACTAAGTTGTTTCCTTCTATCAGAGCTTCCCTACTCTTCAAGGAAATATAAAACACATTGCTGGAAGCAACATGTACATTCTGCTGGAAAAATGTGCACACTAGAACGTTTGGGAATTACAATAAAATAAAACATATTTTTTTCCTTCAGTAGGTCAGGAGGACCTGAAGGATTTCAGCTGTAAAGCTGTAAAACTTGTAATATGTCCAGGACTTCATAAATTTTTCATCATGGGACCTGGAGCCAGAGGACATTTGATTTAAGCTAAGGCTTGATGACCCCATGGCAGCTGGAAGTAAGAATGCATATAGGAAAAAATGTGATAGACAGCGATGTTGGATGGAAGAAGGGTTCCAGAATACTGTCCTCTGTCTCCAACTGCATAGTAGTTCTTTTTAATCCGGTCCAGATGCCAGCGACATGAACATGAGCAAGAAGCTACAAGACATCAGAGGTAGCTGACAATAGAAGTAGTTAAGTAATTTCCATTAAGCAAGAAAATCCAGTAAAGTGAAAGATGTCTCTATTTTTTGAAGCCCTTGGAGTACTGTTAAATAGACTATGTATACCGCTGTAATTTCCCTAGTGGCCTTGCAAGAGTTAATACACATGCTGAAAATATAGTGGAATTGGATTCAAGTGATATTATTCACATTTGAATAGCTCACAGCGTTGGCAAATGCATTTCATCTATCCTTGCCTGCGCATCACCACTTGGACATCCTCTAGGCACGAGCGCAACATTCCAAAACTGAACTTCTCTAGCCCCAGAAGCCTACTTCATCTTTTCTATTTTTTGTCTTATAGATGAATACACTATCAACGTAGGCAAGTCAGGAACCTTTAATTTACCCTAATTACCCCTTCTTCTGTATGCCCCCAGTCAGACTGCCTCCAGACCATCTCAAGGTTGTTCTTTCTTCTCCATCCTAGTTGCCGCTGTCTTAGTTTGGACCTTTGCATTTTCTCACCTGAACTAACCTGAACTAATACTATGGACTCTGAATTAGTTTCCCAGCCTCTGATTCGTTGTCTCTGTTGCCTTCAGAGTGAGTTTTCTAAAACCATGATTCCCCTTTTCATAATTCTGCATAGCCCTTCACTTCCACTCATTGCTTTGAGGTTAAAATGAAAATCCATAGCATAGCACCTGTTACCCTCAATAAACTGAATTGTGTCTACCTTTCCAACCTCACCTTTGACTTTTTCACTTCTATTTCAGCCAACTGAATAACTCATGGGTCCCCCAACACTTTACGCTCTTGTAGTTCATTACCCTCTACCTTGAATGCTCTTTTCTTCTTCTGTTCTCTTCACTAACTCCTGTTTCTTCTGCAGAATTTCTTCTTTCCAGAAGCATTCTGTGAATCCAACCTCAAATTCACATTTATATTACATCTCCCTCTCTTTGAAGGAAGGGACCAAATTGTATTTGTCTTCATGTCTCCACAAGAAGATCGCAATAAGCACTACCAAGTACTGGATGAATAAAGAACTTTTAACACACAGCTGTTTAAGTAGACCAGACACTGACATCTCTATTACACCTACAAGAAAACTTAGCTTCAAGGAAGTTAAGTGACTTGCCTAAGTTCCCACCAGTGGTAAGCCATTACTAAAAATAACATCTCTTCACTTCCGGCCCATGACTCTTTCGGTAATCTGTGGTGCTTCTAAGACTATGGCAGAATTTTATTTTTGAGATGTGGACATGACTCTTAAAACTGTCTGATAGAAACCAGCTCTCTACTTTTATTTTTAAATTAATTAATTTATTATTTTAATATGCAAATAAAAATTATATAGTATATAGCATGATTTCAAATATGTATACATTATGGAATATCTAAATTAAGATAATTCACATATACATTATCTCATATACTTATCACTTTTTGTGGTAAGAACACTTAAAATTCTCTCAGCAATTTTCAAGAATATAATACATCGTTATTAACTGTAGCCACCATATTGTACAATAGATCTCTCAGAGTTATTCCTCCTACTTCACTGAAATTTTCTATTCTTTGACCAACATCTCTCCTGCCATGCTCTCCAACCAACCCTGTGGTAACCACCATTCTACCCTCCATTTTTAATGAGGTCAACTTTTTTAGATTCCACATATAACTGATACACAGTATTTCTTTTTCTACCTGCTTATTTTCTTGAACATAATGTCTTCCAGGTTCATCCATGTTGTTGAAAAATGACAGGATTCTCTTCTTTTTTAAGGCTGAATAGTATTCCCGTGTGTGTGTGTGTGTGTGTATCACCATTTTTTTTAGCCATTCATCTATTGATAAATGCCTAGGTTGATTCCACACTTTGAATATTGTGAATAATGCAGTGAACACCAGAGTGAAGATATCTCTTACAACATACTGATTTCATTTCTTTAGCTATATAACTAGCAGTGGGGTTGCTAAATCATATGGTAGTTCTATTTTTAACTTTTGAAAGAAGCTTCATATTGTTTTCCACAATGTCTATTCCAATTTGCATTCCCACCAACAGTGTATAAGGGTTCCCTTTTCTCTACATCCTTGCCAATTCTTATCTTTCATTTTTTGATAATAGCCATTCTGACAGCTAAGAAGTGCTATATATCTTGTTCTAGTTTTAATTGCATTTCCCTGATGATTAGTAATTTTGAGCTTTTATTCATATACCTATTGGCCATTCATATGCCGTCTTTAGAGAAATGTCTATTAAGATTCTTTGTGTATTTTCAATCAGGTTGTTTTCTTGCTATTGAGTTGTTTGAGTTCCTTATATATTTTGAATATTAACCTTTTATCAGATTTATGGTTTACAAATATTTTATTCCTTTATGCAAGTTGTCTCTTCACTCTGTTGATTGTTTCCTTTGCTGTACAGAAGCTTTTTAGTTTGTTGTAATCTTATTTGTCTATTTTCGCTTTCATTTCCTTTACTTTTGAGGTCATATCCAATAAAAAATGTCCAGGTCAATGTCATGAAGCTTTTTGGCCATTTTATTCTAGAAGTTTTATACTTTCAAGTCTTACATTTAAGTCTGTAATCCATGTTGAGTTGATTTTTGTGTATGGTATGAGATAAGAATCTAATTTCTTTCTTCTGCATATGAATGTTTCGTTTTCGAAACACTACTGTTCTCTCCCCAGTGTATATTCTTGATACCTTTGTCAAAAATCAGTTGACTTTAAATTTGTGAATTAATTCTGGGCTCTATTTTATTCCATTGGTCTATGCATCTTTTCTTAGCTCAGTACCATGATGTCTTGATTACTATAGCTTTTAGTAGACTTTGAAAATCAGGTAATAGGATGTTTCTATCTTTGTTCATTTTTGCTCAAGATTGCTTTAGCTACTTAGGATCCTTTGTAGTTTAATATGATTTTTAAGGTTTTTATTTCTATTTCTGTGAAAAATATCATTGGAATTTTGATAGAGATTATAATAAATCTGTAGAGACATTTTAATAATAATTCTACTAATCCATGAACACAGTATATCTTTCTATTTATTTATGTCTTCTTCAACTTCTTTAATCAATGTTTTGTAGTTTTCAGTGTACAGCCCTTTTAAATTTATGGTTAAATTTATTCCTACATATTGGGGTTTTTGTACCTATTGTAAATAGGATTGTTTTCTTGATTTCTTTTTTGAATAGTTCATTATTAGTGTATAGAAATGCTATTAATTTTTGTATGTTGATATTGTATCCTACAAGTTTGCTGAATTTATTAGTTTTAACAGGTTTTTGTTGGATGCATTATATACTAATTTAATCCGTGTCTTCTTTTTGAATAATATACACAGTAATCAGAATGGCCTCTTGTTAGTAGATCCAGGAATTGTATTGTCAAAATACCATTTTTGTTTCTTTAAAAGGAAAAGGCATGTTTTAAACAAAATGAAGATTTTCTCATGGTGAAGAATTTTTGTATGTTACCACTAGTTCCAACATAATGTTCTGGTATTTCCTTTTCTGGCCACCTTTAAAACTAGACTAAATTCTCATTTTGCTTACCAGGGGAGCATTTCTTCCAAAAAATTAAACTTGTTATATTGGCTGTATAAACATTTTTGGCAATGCCATTGTAGTGTGTCAGAATGGATGAGCACTCTAGGGTTTGGTATATTCTTTTGCTTACTGGGTAGGTGACCTTCAGTATATTGCTTTACCTCCTTTAGCCTGTTTACTCATTTATAAAATGGTAATAATCCCCTCAGAAAGAGTGCTGTTGAGGGATTAAATGAGATAACACATATATTAATAAAAGGGCATAGAACAAAATTACTTCCTTCCCATCTTTTTGAAATGTTTTAACTTCCAGTTAAACCAATCACAATTCTCTATCTACATAATAGCAGAAAGCTGCTTCTCTGAAGATGATCAGAGGCTGATCAAGTTACAAATAGTATACCCAGGAACAATTTGGCAGGTGTAGCCATTAAGATAAATGGCTGTGAGAGCAGACTGATGGTGACATCTGTCAATACATTAATTTTTAGGGATGATTTGGCTATTGCTGGATGACTGGCTGGCTTAGTATCCTCTTCCTCCCTTGTATCCCACGTGCATCTATTCTGA